ATTCACATGGTTCAAAAGGCAAAAGGTGGAAGCAGTCACACATTGACAAACCTCCTTCCCACTAATTAGTTCCCACCTCATCCTACAAAGGTAACCACCATTCTGTGTCATATATCCTTTCAGAGCATCTTTTTACATACACAAGTAAATACACATACAGGTGATCCTTTTCCCCCTTTTATACCCAAAATGTAGCCTACAATACATACTGTTCTGAATCTCACTTTTTTCTTTGGAGAGCTTTCTTTAACACTTCATAAAAATGTTCTCATTTCTTTTTTTTCAGATTCAGACACCTGAGCAGTATCATTTCTTTTTTACAGCAACATGTTATTCCATTACATGGATGTGCCATAATTTTTCTACCCCATGGGTAGATTTTTGGGTTGTTTCCAGTTTTTTCCTATTACAGTGCTGCAATGAATAACTTTGTATATTCATTGTATATTCATTTTTTTTCAGATATATCTTAGAATATATACCATAAAGTGGAATTTTGGCTCAAAGGACATAACCATTTTTAATTTCAATAGATATTTCCAAATCATGATTTCTTTTTTGATCCTTGTCAAACCTAGATAAATTGTACAGCATCAGAAGAGACTAGTTTTTACAAATCAACCTTTTAATAATGATGTTTTCTATTTGTATAATGCTTTATACTTTAATTATACATGAGCTTATTCTATCCCCATGATAACCCCAAGAAATCGATGTCAAGGATTATTATATCCATTTTACAGAATAGGAAACTGAGGCTAAGCAAGGTTAAGTGAGCTGCCCAAGTCATAAAGGTGGTACATAGCAAAGCCCAGGTCTTCTGATTCAAGTCACCTTCTGATGAAAAGGTTTATTGGTTAGTTGGTCAGTTTTAATTTTAAATAATTGACCTTATCTTTGAAACTATTTAGTTTAATATGTGAAAATAATTGCTAACATTCATTGAGAGCTTACTATGTGCCAGACACTATTCCAAGGTCTTTATATTCTCACCTAATCCTCCTCTCAATACTCCTATGCTATTCACTTGTGCTATCAGGCTGGATATAAGACAAACCTAGGTGATTGATAGTTTTTTCCTGTATAAAGCGTGCAGTTGGCTAAGTCTTCTAAAAAGTAGGTGTATCTTGTAAGTATTATTCTAATGCATTTATTTAGCACTTAATATGTGCCAGGACTTTCACCAAGCATCAGGAGACAAAGATACTTGACAAAGTCCCTATCCTTAAGGAGCTGAAAAGAAAGGCCATAGAGAGAGAGAGATGTTGCTATTAAAATAGATAAAATACACAAGGAAATACCACAAGGCCTCATTTAAATGCCATTTGAGTGGCAGACCCTCAGCTTGCTGCCAGAGTTCTCAGGGGAAATGACTGTGAACTGGCAGGGACAGGGAACACTTTACTGAAAACACAGAACTTGATCCTGCCTTAAAGACTAGAACAGTCACTAACTGGCAAGGAGGGGAGGACGTCCCCTAGCAGATGGCACAGAGTCCAAAGAAACCTGTGGTCTGCTAGGAAAAGGCAGTGAACCAGTTGGACTGGAGCACAGAATTGGGGAAGTGCGGAGCAGGAGAAGTAGTTGGAAGGGTGCACTGAGCAAGTTTGGGGAGGTCTACCCACCATACAGGGGTCTGAATTTCACCTTGAAGGTGAAAAGGCCTGAATATTTCTGAGTAGAAGGATGACACTGACCAACCTGTGTTAGGGGAAAATGATTAATCTGGTGATACTGTTCAGAATCCCAGGAGAAGGGGGAAGAGTAGGGGGGAAAACAGCCTGGGAAGTTACATTTATTGTAGATCCAAAATCCTTTCAAAGGAACGACAGCAAAAATAGTAGCTACCATTTATCAGGTTCCAGGCACTGTGGTAGGTGCTTATTTAATCGTCAGAAGACAGAGAATTTCAATGATCTGTTCAAGATCACACACATAGTAAGTGGCCTTGTCAGGTTTTGAACTTCTTTCTCACTCCATATAACCTTTCCACTCTTTCCACTACAGAATTATGCTTGTATCCTCACCTCTAACTCTCCAGGCAATAAAGGTCTGGACTAGGATGGTGATGGTTATGGAAAAGAAGGTTGGCAGACATGTACCATATATCCTGGCTCTTCTTTCAGATTTTTTATGCATCGCAAGCCCCAGTCTGGGAGGAGGGGGAGTTGCACTCTGCATCTCTAGTGAAGAAGAAACCTCAGGGTAGCCCGCCCTTATGTGTTGTCTAGTAATCATGTACTACTGGACAGTAAGCTCTTCTGCTGTGCTTTGGAGCCAAGATACATAGTATTGCTAGATCGTGCTACCACATGCCTGCCTGCCTACCTCTATTGCTGGCTGGGGCCTGGTCTTGGTTTTTCTTTATATACTATGGCAACATCAGACAAGTTTAGAAGACAAAAATAACCTTGGAATTATCTTGTGAATTCATGGCAATTACCATGCAATTACATGCTCAGTAACCACAATGGAATTCGAGAGTGTATACAGTTCACTTCCATGTGCAAAAGCCCATGCTTCTGGGCTTTTCAGTGTGAAGGTGAGAGCATGGCCAGCCTGGTGTGGCAGGGCGAGCAGGCCTAGTGGCCATGCCCTTCCAGACATACTGGCCAGCTGGGCCAGAACTTCTCCAAGCCAGTTCTTGTTACCCCACCAATTATTCCTGCTTAGTCCACCAGAGCCATGCTGTCCTCCAGCAGGCAAGACCCAGAGCGACTGCCCTGAGTTGTCCTCCTCTAAGGATGGCATGACTGTCCCCTGTGCCTTGTAATAATCACCTGCTTTTGCCCCAAAGTATTTATCAATGGGCAGTGTCTTTCTTGAATTACTTAAATTTCTTGAATTCAAATTATCCTTTGAAGAGTCTCTTAAGAGGGAAGAGCTATCCACCTACTCTATTTCATTTATTCATTCTCTTTTATGTAATAAACACCGAGTGCCTGTTCTGTGCTGGTATCATGCCCAAACTGGAGATTCAGAAACCAAACAGCGCCTGCCCCCAAACAGTGCCTGCCCTCAGAAAACTCCCAGTCATGGAAGGGAGACAACCAAGGGAACAACTCATGATAGGTCAGGGTGACAGTGTACAGCTGTGAGGCATATGAGGGTCAAATCAGATTTCTGTTGTTAGAAAAATCCCAATGGCTACAAATGGGACCCTACAAGGTGGGTACACAACTCAAGCTGTATTAGCCTGTGGGGGCCTAACACATCTGCAGATGTGGACTCTACTTGCATTTAGGATGAGCAGCCTTAACTGGCGGTACTGATGATATGACCTTCGGACACAAGACTTGATGTAAATGTTGAAGAAAAACATGCTCCCCCAATCACGTGTCGGGGGAGCATGTCACCAAAAGTGCCACGAAATCTGAGTGTGTGTGTGTGTGTGTGTGTGTGTGTGTGTGTGTGTGGAGAGGGAGAGATGCAGGAGAGGAAAGGATGTCTATTCTCTGCAGAACACTCAGTCAGCCCTAATTCCCCTGCGTTATCTCAGAGACAGGAGGTGAGCCGGAGGCCTGATTATAATGCATGTCAGGTCACTACGATTCCTTACAGCCAGCTCCAAACCAGCAGCACCTCCTTTTCCTACTCCTGTTCCAAGTCACTGCACAAGTCCGGGTACCTAGTTGCCCAGCACCTGTGCACCACCACAGTTCAAGAACCAAGCCAGGCACCTTTATCTTCTATGCCCTAAGGTTGCCATGGCCCTATATGCAGTTCTCCACATTTCCAGCTATCCAGAGAAAAACAGTTGATTGACTAAGGCGAATATCACATCTCACAAAGAACATGCTATAAAACTGCCAGGATCCAGTACTTTATCTCGTACATATTAAATGTTAAATGTTTTCAGGAAATACATAATGACAGCACTTTGGCCCTACTATCACCATTCTCTTTGGCATGGCTTTCACTGATAGACAAGCAAGATTAAGAAGAGCAGTTTCCCCAAAGAAAGAAAGCAGCAGCACATTTCTAATGTTGGCCACCTCAAGGAGGTGGTCCATGCTCAGTGACTTGCTGCCAAAGGTTGAAGTATGGGAAGAGCGGGAAAATACCTTTACAGCAGAGAAACCTATAAAGTTTTTTCACAAACTTCAAAAGCCACTGTAGCCAGGTGATAAAGGTTAATGTCATCAGTGATAAGTCACACTGATACCATCTATCTACCCTTGATACGAAGTGAGGAAAATGGCAGTTTGCCCATGTGGTCTTCCTCTCAAAAACACATTACTACAGTCTAATCAGGAGAAAAACATCAGACAAACTGAAATTGAGAGAGATTTCACAAAATGCTTGCCCATTACTCCTCAGAACTATTAAGATCATCAAACACAGGGAAAGTCTGTGAAGCCGTCACAGCCCAGAGAAACCTAAGGAGAGATGACAGCTAGTTACGGTGTGGTATCTTAGATGGGATCCTGAAACAGAAGAAAAGAATTAGGGAAAAATGAATGAAATAGAAATAAAGTATGGATTTATGTTAATAATAATGTAGGGCCAGGTGTGGTGGCTCACACACACACTGGTAATCCCCAGCATTTTGGGAGGCCAAGGCTGGCAGATTGCTTGAGCTAGGAGTTCAAGACCAGCCTGGGCAACATAGTGAGACCCTATCTCTACAAAAAATAATAAAATTAGCCATGTGTGGTGGCACACACCTGTAGTCCCAGCTACTTGGGAGGCTGAAGCAGGAGAATCACTTAAGCCCAGGAGGCACAGGTTGCAGTGAGCCCAGATTGCACCACTGCACTCCAGCCTGGGTGACAGAGTGAGACCCTGTCTCAAAAAATGAAAAGTAATGTAGCAATTTGTTCCCTTAGTTGTGACAAATGTATCATAGCAATGTAAGATGTTAACAATAGAAGAACTGGGTGTGGGGGATATAGGAACTGTCAGAATTACCTTTGCAATTTTCTTGTTAATCTACAAGTATTCAAAAATTATAAGTTTATTTAAATATCTGTTTAATATTCAGTTGTGCTCCTTTCCAGACGCTGGCAACCAGTCGTTATGCAGTGATGACCACCCAGCTAAGACACAGCAATCTCTCACTGGTTTTCCACTACGTTTTTCTCCAGATCTGTAGGGCCCATGGCATTGGCTATGATCTGGAGGTATGAGGGGTTACAGTTGGCCAGGGGTGGACCAAAGGCATGCCTGTGGGTGATCTAGGTAGCTAATAATTTGGTGCCCCTTCAAACAGATATTCTTTAATATTAGTTTGATGTGTCTGTAGAAAAAGGCTGATTGCTGCTTGGGGAAGAGCAGATACGCAACTCCACAGAAAGTAGCACTTAGTCCTGGAAAGTTCTACATCATCACCAATCTTGCACACCCACTTTGGTAAAGCAGGAGACATGCAAGCTCTCCAGACTTAGGATGCATTTTGGGGACCACCTCATGATCCTGAAGCAGGCCCTGAGCTTCTTGATCCCACCCAAAGCTGCTTATCAATGGATAGCTTCTGTCTTAGTCTGCTGGGGCTGCCATAACAATATAGCACAAGCTAAATGGCTTGAACCACAGAAATGTGTTTTCTCCCTGGCTGGCAGCTGGTACGTCCAAGGACAAGGCAGTAGCAGATTTGGTTCCTGGTGAGGGCTTGCTTCCTGGCTTGTAAATGGCTGCCTCCTTGTGGTGTCCTCACATATTGGAAAGAGAGAGAGAGATCTCTGTTGTCTCTTTTACAAGGTACCAGTTCCGTTAATCAGAGCGTCACGCCTACAACCTCATTTAACCTTAATCACTTCCTTAGAGGCCCTCCAATACAGTCACTTGGGAGGTTAGGACACATTTCAGTCCGTAGCATCCTCCTACCAACATATGATAATTTATTTCTGAAGGGAATGCTGATAAAAACCATTTTCTCTACTTTTGGTCTATTTCCAGTGATACCAGGGGCCCCTGCATAGCTGCTTTATCCTGATGTAGCTGACTAGGGGCAAGTGCAATGCAATGTCTCCTGCCAAAAATAGAACCTCCATTTTGTGCCTAGAGACTCATGTTACTCCAGAGAAATAGTTTCATGTTTTTCCACTTTGATTCAGATTTTCAAGTCTCTCACATTCAGGGCCATTCTAAGACCCTGAGTAACCCTGTACACTCTTACTTATGGAAGACCCACTTCACAGCACCTCAAACATCTTAAAATATATTCATCTCCCACATTAAATATAAGGTATATATAATGACATAAGAATTGAGTAGTAACCAGTCGATCAGATGTTTTAATTTGTAGATATTCAGTTCTACATTTATTAACTTATATTCTTTATACTTGAGACCAGTACAATTTTCAAGGATCAAATTTTATAAGTTCTATTTTTCTTTTTCTTTTCTTTTTTTTTTTTTTTTGAGATAGAGTCTCATTCTGTCACCAGGCTGGAGTGCAATGCTGCAATCTTGGCTCACTGCAACCTCTGCCTCCTCGATTCAAGCAATTCTCCTGCCTCAGCCTCCCGAGTAGCTGGGATTACGGGCACATGCCACCATGCCTGGCTAATTTTTGTATTTTTAGTAGAGACGGGGTTTCACCATGTTGGCCAGGATGGTCTCGATCTCTTGACCTCGTGATCCTCCCGCCTCAGCCTCCCAAAGTTCTGGGATTACAGGCGTGAGCCACCGCACCCAGCCCCAAAATTTATACATTCTTTAAAAGCACACAGACCTTCAGCATGAGGCCAAGTGAATAGAATGGTCTGGCTGACACTTGGCAATCCCCAGCAGGCTGCCAGGCACTGTCAGGGCACATGAGACTCTTTGATTAGATGGATTCGTGCTGTTTGCAGACACGTAAAGTGGAGTTTGGATCCCCTTGCAAATTACATTAAAATTGATAAAATAAAGAGAGAATGAAGAAGCCAGATTGAACTGATTTACCTGAAATTAATTGTTACATCTGCTCCACACAATCCCTTTGGAATTAAATAGTTTTTAGCCTCAAACTGATTAGACCAAAACACTTCCACATACCAGAAGATGGTTAAATCTAACTCTAGCTTTATCTGAATCTATTTGTTGTATTTTATTCTAAAATATCAAAAGTAGAACAACTCTGTAAAAAGGCATATTTGGCAGGGACAGTCTCCTGCCCTTCCCGCGCCCCCCCCCCCCCCCCCCGGCCAAAAGTGCTTCATTACTTTCTATTGCCTGAAATTATTATTAGAGATTTATTTCTTGAGCTTATGACTTTGTATTTGACTGAAGTTCAAGTACCCTTGGGGTAAGTAAAGCACCAAACTTTTTAGGTTATTTACTCCTTAGTCTCTGAGTTGATTGGATCTATTTCCAAGAGCAGTTTTTATAGGGGAAACAGATGGCTAAGGCCCAGGGAAGCACATGGATGGCGCAGAGGAGGGGGTTCCACTGAGGGTCAGGGAGCTCACTGAAGACAGCTACAGAAAAGGCAGACAGAGGCCGGGCGCGGTGGCTCATGCCTGTAATCCCAGCACTTTGGGAGGCCGAGGTGGGTGGATCACCTGAGGTCAGGAGTTCGAGTCCAGCCTGGCCAACATGGTGAAGCTCCATCTCTACTAAAAATTAGCCAAGCATGGTGGCGTGCACCTGTAATCCCAGCTACTCAGGAGGCTGAGGCAGGAGAATCACTTGAACCTAGGAGGCAGAGGTTGCAGTGAGCTGAGATTGTGCCACTGGTCTTCAGCCTGGGCCACAGAGCGAGACTCTGTCTCAAAAAAAAAAAAGAAAGAAAAGGCATACAGGGGCACCGAAGACACTTCCGGCAGAGTTCCATAGACTCACCTCCAGGCCATCCATGCACAACAACTTAAAAAAAGATGAAAGATAAAATGAGAAAGAAGAAGAAATATAGATTAGGGCAACAGATGATGAAACAATGCAAAGAAGAAACAGATAACAGAAGAAAAGAGAGAGGAGAAAATCCAGAGACAGAGCATCCACTGAAAGAGGAGGAGAGGCCCGGGCGCGGTGGCTCAAGCCTGTAATCCCAGCACTTTGGGAAGCCGAGACGGGCGGATCACGAAGTCAGGAGATCGCGACCATCCTGGCTAACACGGTGAAACCCCGTCTCTACTAAAAAATACAAAAAAAACTAGCCAGGCGTGGTGGCGGGCGTCTGTAGTCCCAGCTACTCGGGAGGCTGGGGCAGGAGAATGGAAAGTAAACCCGGCAGGCAGAACTGCAGTGAGCTGAGATCCGGCCACTGCACTCCAGCTGGGCGACAGAGCGAGACTCCGTCTCAAAAAAAAAAAAAAAAAAAAAAAAAAAAAAAAAAAAAAAAGAAAGAGAGACAGGGAATAATCAGAAAGAAAAAAAGAAGCAGATAAGCCGGGTGCATTGGCTCCGCCTGTAATCCCAGCACTTTGGGAGGCCGGCGAGCGGATCATGAATCAGGAGATCGAGACCATCCTGGCCAACATGGTAAAACCCCGTCTGTACTAAAAATGCAAAAATTAGCTGGGTGTGTTGGCAGGCGCCTATAATCCTAGCTACCCGGGAGGCCGAGGCAGGAGAATGGCTTGAACCCGGGAGGCAGAGGTTGCAGTGAGCCGAGATCACGCCACTGCACTCCAGCCTGTCGACGGAGCAAGACTCCATCTCAAAAAAAAAAAAAAAAAAATGAAAAGAAAAGGCACAGATAATAAACAGAAGTAGAGCGGATCATGAGATCAGGAGATCGAGACCATCCTGGCCAACATGGTAAAACCCCGTCTGTACTAAAAATGCAAAAATTAGCTGGGTGTGTTGGCAGGCGCCTATAATCCTAGCTACCCGGGAGGCCGAGGCAGGAGAATGGCTTGAACCCGGGAGGCAGAGGTTGCAGTGAGCCGAGATCACGCCACTGCACTCCAGCCTGTCGACGGAGCAAGACTCCATCTCAAAAAAAAAAAAAAAAAAAAAAAGAAATGAAAAAAGAAAAGGCACAGATAATAAACAGAAGTACAAGAAAAGAGGAAAGACATACAAGAAAAGAGGGAAGACGTTGAGTCATAAAAATCTGAGGAGTCACATGACTATTTGAACATTTTGGAAATTCTCCAGCAGTATCCTTGCTTTATTTTTCCTGAGATGAGTTTTCATCTTTTCAGACCCTGGGGTCCATGCCTGCTCAGGACTCTTCACCTGCTGTCTTAATTGCCTTTTCTTGGATGGTAAGTGGTGAACCAGCATTTATGGAGTGCCTACTGCGTACTGGCCTCTGAGCTGAGCACTTTACTTCATTATCTCATTTATTCTTCATGCCTGTCCTGTAAGAAGGTGTTATTTCTTTTTTGTTTTCTTCTTCTTCTTTTTTTTTTTTTTTGAGACGGAGTCTCGCTCTGTCGCTCGGCTCACTGCAAGCTCCGCCTCCCGGGTTTACGCCATTCTCTTGCCTCAGCCTCCCGAGTAGCTGGGACTACAGGCGCCTGCCACCTCGCCTGGCTAGTTTTTTGTATTTTTTTAGTAGAGATGGGGTTTCACCGGGTTAGCCAGGATGGTCTCGATCTCCTGACCTCGTGATCCGCCCATCTCAGCCTCCCAAAGTGCTGGGATTACAGGCTTGAGCCACCGCGCCCGGCCAGAAGGTGTTATTTCTACCATATTACAGTAAGGACTTTAGGCTTAAAGATTTTAAGCACTTTCCCAGGGTCATACAGCCAGGAATTTTGTGGAACTGACATTTGAACCCATAATTGTCTACAAAGTCAAGCATGATTCTTCGTCTTACACAAGGTGTCCCCTATATAAGCCCTTTCTCCCCCTAAGGACTGTTTCCCACCAACTGTCTCTATTTCTAAAATATTACCAACCCAGTCCAATAAGAATTCTGGAATCTATTTCCAATATATCCCCTCTAGGTACCTCTTATGTATTCTTCAGCTGGAGAAACACAGACTTCTTTTCATAGCCCCTATGACTATCTCTACATTAAAAAGGAGGAAAAAAAGAGTTTAGCAATTTCCCTAAAATTTTATTGCCTTTTTGGGTTATGCTGAGTCTAAAAACAAGATCATTTACCCGAATTCCAGAGTAACCTGCTCCCACTCTTGGGTGAGTTTAACGTGGGTGCTCGTTCCAGAAAAAGAAAGTAACATTAATAACACATCATTGTCAGTGCTACCGAAAGAAGAATCCTCAAAAGTCCTTATTCTCAGCA